AACAGGATGCTACACACACTCCATGTGGGCAGTGGCAGTGTGCCAGCAGGAAAACAGCATGCTGGGGAAACCTTTCCAATCCCCTGGGAATAGCTCTGATTGGCAGGACCCTCCTGTCGTCTAAGAGGAGCAGTTTGTTGTCCAGGTTAGCACATACACAGTGTTCAACAGGTATTACTGTAAGAATCAGCCTGTTCTTTGCACCTGATTACTGGACCAGAGGGAAGCCTGGGCTCTTGTAGGCTCTTGTGAGGCTCCTGACTCAAGTCCATCATCTATGTCTTACTTAGGCCATCTCTAATTTTGTGGGTGGTCCCTTCTGGCAGTGACCAGGACGTGACGAGGTCCGAGGGAAAAGCTATTGTTAGGTCTGGCTACCCAGCCCTTTGTGAGAGCAACTACTCTGTGTCAGGAGCTCCGACCTCACACTGAAGACCAATTGATGTAGGAGGTTCTTTTGTTTGTGTGTTGCTTTCATTGGTTGAATAAAGAGACTGCCTTGGCCTTTTGATAGGGCAGCCCTCAGACAGGCAGGGAAGACAGAACAGAATTCTGGGAGAAAAAAGCAGAGACAGGCAGACGCCATGTTTCTCCTGCCCAAGACTGACGCTGGTTAGACTCATGCCGGTAAGCCACAGTCAATGGCGATACACATTAATGGAGATGGGTTAATCAAGATGTGAGAGTTAGCCAATAAGGGGCTGGAGATAATGGGCCAGGCAGTAATTAATTAATACAACTTCCGTGTGATTATTTCAGGTGTAAGCTAGCTCGGCAGGAGAGAACAAAGAGCCCCGCTCCCCATACTACAGAGTGGCGCCCAACGTGGTCAACTAACTCCACGTAAAACCTGAGAGGGCTTTAAAAGGAATTCTAGACACAAATATAGAGTTTAACAAAGCTTTTTGCTGTGTGCTGGTGGGGTGCCGCAGAGAAATTTTCCCGACTCAGCAATAGCAGCAGGAAAAAAGCCATGCCATTTTAAAACAAGGCTTTCTGGGCCCTGCTGCCATTGCAAACTCCGGCTATGGCACATTTGTGGACTCGGATGTTTGTGTGCCCACTTAGGGTTGGGAGTAAAGTAGCTGAGACTATGTCCGTGGCTCAGCTCTTCCTGCCTGGGTAGGCAACTGGATCAGGTCTATTAGAAAGTGGTGGTTTTGAAATAGCAGTTTATGGGCTGTGCCGCCATTGTGATCTCTGTCTGGTTCCTGCGGGAGACAGAGAATCTGGATGGGATTTTTGTGAGTAAAGTGCTACGACTTGCTTGATGGCAAAGTAGACTGCTGTGTGCCTGTAACTGTGCAGCTCAGGGGCACCAAATGGCTCTGAGGCGAAGCGGCTTGTGCTGAACTCAGGCAGGGACTATCGTAATTATCAGAATAACAGCGCAGTTAAGGTTTAGACTGAGCAGGAAACACGTGGTACCCTATTACCCCTGCATGGCGCAACTTAAGTTTTTAAGAAGTGCTTAACATTTTAAGAAATACTCCTGGATAGTAAAGAATTACAGATTCACAATAGGACAGATTCAGACATAAAAGACCTCTAAATGGGTCATACTGTTAGATAAACATAGTCTTGGGAGAGAGAAGAAAAAGAGTATAAAGAATCATAAAAAAAAGTTAATGTTAAAAGAAATAAGGGTAAAGTCTTTAAAGAGACAAAGAAGAGTGATAGAGTAAAAATAAGCCACATAAAAATGGAAAATTTACAGAGAGTCTGGATTCTTTGTATTATTGTGTTTTCTTTAAATTTTTTGACTGTGAAGGAGCTAAGTACAGAGAGACATTTCATTGTATGGGCTAAGCTAAACCAGCATATATATTCTAAAGGTATCATGACTTCAGAATTTGGGTCTAAGGATTTGATGCTTTGGAAAAGAGGTTCTTCTTTTGTTTTCACAGAGGATGAGAACCTGTGGATTGCCTCCAGACCAATATGGTATGATAGACCACACCCTTCTGAAAGGTTGCTGTAAACACCCTCAAAAATTTCTTTGCCCAACTGCTGACTGAGATAAATCTAGCACATAGGATACACCATGAAAGACCTGACTAACAGAACCCCCATTAAGCACGAAGCAGTTTGGAGAGAAATAACTGTGCTCATATTCCCAAATATTGTTTATAAATGTTCTTTTACATTTAAAGGGGGATATAACATAGAGATGAATAATTTGCATTGGTATGGATTTTGCTTTATTGATATAAATTTAAAGTCAATTTTGTTATATGTATATGTATTTCTGATTTTGATTAAGGTATTGTGATTGTGTAGTTCATTTAAAAATGTAAGGTATAATTAGGAAATATAAGTTGTTAATGGATAATCATCAATAATAGTCAAGCTTGTAGTCATGTTAGTTACATTTTCTAGATATACAGAGATATATTTCAGTTAGATAGGCATTCTTCATAACTTTCAAAGACTACGGAATATGGCATTTAAAATGTTTTAATAACTTAGGGCTTTTCATGACAATCAGACATGTCTGCTCCTGGCAGCACCAATCTACTTCAAGAGGAAGATGGGCACCGAAGAGGCTACTTATGGAGTTTGATAGTCATCTGGACAAGAAACTGCTCTTGCCTGGACTGTTGCATAAACTGGACACGAAGAACCCACAGAGAGAGGACTGCTAAACTTGCCTAAAGGTGAGATGATCCTTCAGGGTTCCTGTTTCATGAAAGAGTCTGCAAGACATTCTGCAGGATACAAAAGAAAGTGACTGAACTGCCTTTGGAATTTCCTGCTTCATGGAAATGTCTGCTGGAAACTATGGACCTGTAGGCTGAAGATGGATGCCCCAATGGTACAGAAAAACTTTGGGTGACTATACAGGTAGCGAGATGTCTCTGTCATTTCTAGAGTTTGAAAGTTGCTTATTTCTTGTTTACTTAGATAATATTATATCCTTCTGGAGTCTTTGATGGAGTTCAAGAATTTATAGTTATACTTGTTTTCCTTAGTTATGATAAAAGATAAAGTAGATATAAATATTGTAACTATAATTCTTGCTTGATAACTGCTTTGTTATATGTAATTTTACTATGTTAAAGTGAAAGCATTTCTTTTTTGTTTAAACAGAAAAGGGGAAAATGGTGTAGGAGGTTCTTCTGTTTGTGTGTTGCTTTCATTGGTTGAATAAAGAGACTGCCTTGGCCTTTTGATAGGGCAGCCCTCAGACAGGCGGGGAAGACAGGACAGAATTCTGGGAGGAAGAAAGTAGAGACAGGCAGACGCCATGGCTCTCCTGCCCAAGACGGACACTGGCTAGACTCATGCCAGTAAACCACAGTCAAGTGGCAATACACATTAATGGAGAAGGTTAATCAAGATGTGAGAGTTAGTCAATAAGGGGCTGGAGACAATGAGCCAGGCAGTTAATTAATACAATTTCCGTGTGATTATTTCAAGTGTAAGCTAGCCAGGCAGGACGGAACGAAGGGCCCCGCTCTCCATACTACAACCAACAGCTCTCTTAGAACTCTCCAGGGTTTCAACTCAAGATCCAGGCTACTCAGGCATCCAGCACCGTGAACTGAGCAGCCACTGGCCCTCGGCCTCTCTGATGTGCTGACAGTCTGGCTGGACTACCCAGACAATATTGTGTAAAACATAACAACTCCCCTTCGTCATGTATGTTCCTTCTATCCATTCTGCTATTCCACAGAGCACTGCTCAAGGCACACGCCTTCAATGGAGGCAGCTTTTCAGACTCCGTGCCATCGTGGCTTGTTGCAGTTGGTGCCTAGGATGAGCAGAGGGTGGCGCCCACAGCCATGTTCATACTATGGGGGGAGGTGTTAGGTGGGATGTGAGCTTTCAGGCTGTGCCATAGCCTGATGACATCATCTTGTCCTCCTGCTCCAATCAGTAGACTATTTTTTTTGTTGTTGTTGTCTTCCGAGACAGAGTTTCTCTGTAGCTTTGGAACCTGTCCTGGAACTAGCTCTTGTGGACCAGGCTGGCCTCAAACTCACAGAGATCCACCTGCCTCTGCCTCCTGAGTGCTGGGATTAAAGGTGTGCGCCATCACCGTCCAGCTCAATCACTACTCTTGACTAAAAGGAGACACCACAAGGTACGGATACCTGTGGGCCTGAATGCCCCTCCACACCCTACGTGGCATCCAAACTCTAACTTAGCAGGGTTGCTCTCCCACAGGCTGGCCAGCCTTCTGTTCCAGGATCTACTAATCCTCTTTCAAGCCTCTGCCACCATCCCTATTTCTGACTTTTGAAAGCTGCCACCTTCTTTCTGAATGAAACTACACAGACATTTGGTGACTTTTCAAAAAAAATATTTTCTATCATTAATAGGATTTGCGCAGGGCGGCCCTCCCACCATCTGCGTGGCCTGCTGTCTTTAAGTCAAAAGTTTCAGGGACTGGTGTTTTGAGACAGTGTCTCACGCAGTTCAGGCTTGCCTCTAACCGACTGCATAGCTGAGGATACCCTTGAACTTCCGAGCCTCCTGCTTCCACTTTCCTGAGTTATGATCATGGGTGTGTGCCACTGTCTGCTGAGAACCAAACCTGGGCTTCACTTCATGTGCTAAGCAAAGGGTCTAGCAACTGAGCTCTCCCCAGTTCTGAGGTGAATTTACTTTCCTTCAGTGCATGTATAAGCCAATCAAGCATTATCTGGCAACTGGTGGACTTTGTGTGTTTACTCATTTTCTTCCCAGACGAGGAAAGAATAAGAGAAGTGAGAAAGGCAGAGAGATTTCTGCCCTGACTCACAGCACAGGCCAAACAGCAGCAGGCGGAGCTCCTGTCGCCGAGCCTGATGGAGTGGGTTCACGCAGTGGGGCAGACAGGAGACAAGAGGACTCTCCCTGAACCAGACAACAGGCAATAAATCCTATTTCTGGACAGGTATCCCAGCATCTCCAGTCTGTATGTTCAGTGGGGGAGGTAACCAGACAGGACTTTAAATATAGAGTGTTTTAACTGAGAAACTCCCCCCTGCCCCAAGGCAAAAGTGAGGACTTACCCAGCCCAGAGATACTGATTGCCTTCACAGATTTCTTCATTTTGTAGAGAACCATCCGGTCCACGTCCAAAGCCTAAAATACAAAGACTATGTGAATTAAAGCATATTTGCACATAGATCATAACCACAGACAGCAGCCGTGAGAACCTTCTGGGAGTCCTTCTACAAGGCCCCAAAGCTGCTTCTATGGGCTGAGGCTTTGCCTAGTATAGAAAATTTGTACACTTTTGATATACAAAAGTGCACCAAACAGCAGATTTATTGGTTTACAGAAAAACATCTCATGTGTCTCTGCCACCTGAAGCATACAAGCTGCCTCTGCCCACATCACCTGCTGAACACAGGACTCTACAGAGAGGCGAGTGAACCTGGACACAGGGCTCGACCACATCTGGACTGACCCTAAGCCCTGTCGGCCCACCTCCCCTTGAAGGAAAGGGCAGTCTCAAGGATACCAAGTGACCCTCCCCACAAAGAGCATCCCAACAGCCAAGTCACGGAGTCAGACCCGCCCCATACAGATGCTGCTCGGTGTTTTGGATTGGTGAGCCTATTAGCTGTGTTTAGGAGGCTTAGTCCTAATCCCCTCCAAGTCTCAGATTTCTCTTCCAGAATTCAGCTGTAACAGCTTTGGCAAGGCCGAATGATCCAGCAAACACTCGCATGTCTGGTATCCAGCAAATATTTACAGCACAGCTGTCACAGGACAATAGCAAATGGTGTGAAAGATATCTGCACATAGTAGGTGCACAACAGTGTGCACACATAGTAGGTGACCAACAGTGCACCTATAGTAGGTGCTCAACGGTGTGTGCACATAGTAGGCGATCAACAGAGTGTTCACATAGTAGGTCATCAACAGTGTGCACACATAGTAGGCGCTCAACAGTGTGCACAGCAACTCGTCGACCCCAGGCATTTAGTCACAGTTAAACTTCTACTGAAGAGGCAGAGCAAACACTTTTTCCCTTTTCCCATCACTCAGTTAACAGCTCAAAAGATCAAAGGCCACCAAATGCTTGTGACAGGAGGGTGCCCACACCTGGGAGCCAGGAGAGTGAGGCCAAGTAAGGGTGACCTGTCATCTAAAAACATCGGAAAGCCAGGCCCCTGAATCCGCTCCCAACATCGACCTTTGTAAGTCCTCATTCTGACGCTGCCGTGGCTGTTTTCTGGGGTGTTAGAAACAGATGAGATTGGAGCCGACAGTTTTAAATGGAACACTGATCAAAAGGCACCAGACAGGGTAAAAAAGGAAAGAAAGTTCTGATCACATCAGTGTGTGTTTGTCTGAACCCATAGGATGTACTCACTGAGTGAAACTTAATGTACATCAAGATCAAACCCGGAATTCTAGGCAAACACTCACAGAGCTATTTAAACAAACTAACAAATAAATAAATAAAGACAGCCTTGCTATATTATACAGCTCAGGCTGGCCTTGACTCAAAATTTCTTATGAGCTGGCTTTTCTGTATATGGGGAAAGATTTTAAGTGTGGTATATGTACCCCAGAGAACTCCCCACTACCTCAGTGCTGGAGTTACAGGCACCTGCTATCACACCTGGCTTTTTGTGGGATCACACTGTGTGTGTGTGTGCACATGCACATGCACATATTTTGGGGGCACACGCCTGTGGAAATCAGAAAAGGACACTTTACGTCCTCCTCTGTCACTTTCCACCTTATTCCCTTAGGACAGAATCGCCTTGGTCATCTGACTCCCGGGACCCATCTGCCCCCACCTTCCAGTACTGGGTTATGATGGCTATGCCTGGTTTTTTTTATGCTGTGGGCTCTGGGTTTTTGGGTTTGTTTGTTTGAACTCAGGGCCTCATGTTTGTACAGCGAACTCTCTCACTTACTGGACCATCTCCCTAACCCCCACGTGAACTCTTAATGCTCCTGGGCGGCCACATCTAACTCACTCTTGACCTTGAGACAAAAGCAGGGATTTGGAAACAGTAGGTAAGCCACAAAAAACTGCCCTGCCCTCTCTCCCCAGGCCTCCAAGCAGTATTCCACAAGGCTGTGTTTGCTCAGGCTGTCTCCGAAGCGCCACGCCCCTGTGTCAGGGAGTAGAGCCGGACAAGGGGACAAGGCGAATCAGGATGCTGTCACTGTTGGGAGTTCCCACCCCTAGTCGCAGACCCTTGCTGCAAACACAGCTGATGAGCAAATATGCAGTCCAGGAAGATCCTCCTCCAAACCTCCTCACAGACGGCAGAGGACCCCTCAGCAGCAGGGGTGAGCTCCTTGGAAGTCAACTCTTCCCAAAAACGCTTCCTCAGCATCCTAAGGATAACAGCCCAATTTGAAGAAGCCATAGGACCCTCCCTGCGCTCTAAGATCTCCTTGCTCATCTGTCAAGCCCCTGAACTACGCTCTAAGCTCTCCTTGCTCATCCGTCAAGCCCCTGAACTGCCACCTTCACTTCTGGTGATCCTCTGAGCTCTCAATGAACTGCCTGACGCTCACCCAATTCGCTGTTTTCTTCTGCTTCTAAGCAGTGTTAATTGCCTTCTCTCCCTGGAATATCTTCCGGCCTCTTGACCCTTGATCCCAGCTTCACAGGCTGGCTCACAGGCGTCTGGTTCTCCAGCAAGGCCACGCTATCCCTCCACAGGGAGGGTGAACCAGTCACTCATCTTAGGATGGCCCACGGCATCTGTGCTTGTTCCCGGTTTCAGCTGAGATTGACTGAGCACCTGGTACGTGCCCAGTACGAAAACAGGGAGTATTGGTGAGAAAACCAAGACAAGGATCCTGCAGAAGACAAACACCTCCACACACACAGAGACGCAGACTGGGAGGAGCAGAAGGCCAGGACTCACCTTGCACACTGACCTGCTTTGCCAACCTTGGACGCCGCCCCGACACTGGTGCTGTCCCCATCCCTTAGCTACTACTGAGCACCCTGGAACACTTGAGCACACTGGGTTCTGAGAAATAACATCAGAACTACCTTCGTGGCTTGTCACTCGCCCCAGTGCCATACTCTAAGGTCAGGGGCTGGTGTGTGTGCAGCATTAATAACTGACTGCACACCAGAGAGCCCCGCCAAGAAACATGGTTCTGTACCATGCCATAGGGCTTCTCTGACGAGAGAGAGAGAGAGAGAGAGAGAGAGAGAGAGAGAGAGAGAGAGAGAGAGAGAAGCATTGTAGTATGTCAAAGTCACTGGGGGCAAGCAGGAAAGGATTCCAGGAAAGGCCTCCCAAAGATGAAGGAACTGGTTGAAGCCACACTGGTTTAGAAACCAGTCAGGCTCCATCTGGGCGTTAGATTCCTGAGTGACCAGCTAGAAACCTCGCCTGCTTCTCTAGGTCTCCAGTAGAGTTAAGCGCTCTGCCACTGGTAACCCCAAGTCACAGGGTACATCTGTGTCTGTGGGGTATGGCTGAGGCTGGAGGAGGTCACCTACTGAGGTAACAGGGGCTGGTCCTGCAACCAGCTGAACAAAAAACACCACACAATGCTTTGAAAATTACAGCCCTTTCCTATCAAGGACAGCACAGAAGTCTTGTAAAAATACGCCTCCATCTCTGAGTCCTTCTGTCCCTATTGTTGAAGGGGAAGCCGTTTCCGGCCTCAGGAATGAGAAGATAAACAAACGCTGGCTGCTGCTTTTCCCGGTCTATTCAGCAGAGATTGAAGCGAAGGTGAGTTTGGCGCATGGCGCTTGGTGGCAGAGGTAATTATAATTAAAACCTACACTAGGGAAAGGCGATTCCCTCCCTGCTCAAAACTGCACACACACCCCCATCGCCGCATATTTATAGATCATAAGATTAAACCCAGTCAGTAGAAGTGAGAATGATTAAGACAAAAAAAGTCTTGCATCTGTGATTTACACAAAGCTTTGCCAAAACCTTAAAGCAAGAATACGAATAAGGCTTTTGTGGGCTCCAGAATCCTAAGGCACCTGCAACGTAGCTGAGTCTTCTAACTGTACCTCACCTCCCATCCCTTCTTCCGCAACTCCTCAACCCAAGAAGGACGATGAAGACTACCGGCACCAAAACGTGCGGACAAATCACAGGCGCACGGAACTTGCAGAAGTCAATGAAGACCTAAGCAGGGCGGGCCTGGCCCATAGCTGATGTCTGGCCAAACCCTATAAACTCTGAGGGGCTGGACTCAAGCTGACCTCTAGTTTATAAAACAAGCTTAACAGATTAAATTTATTGCATAAACAAGACTGCAGGGATGTGTCTCAAACATTTCCAAGGCAAATAAATAACCGCTGGAGTGGTAACCGGAGATGGTGAGCGGGGAAAGGGAGCAGAGACCATGAGGGCACGGGTCATGATAGACCCACCGCTAGAAAGACCCTCACAGCCCCAGAGGCGGCATTTTCACACCTGGCTGCCCCGCACAGTAAGCAGCCATAAGCTGCCAGGGATTCTATTACAATGAAAAACATGGACAGTTCACTTTGGCACACCTTGCTGACTCCTGCGAGAGTTTCAGCCACATAGGCATGTGTGTGATGGTCCCAGAATGTCATGAGGCTCTTTCCTTCTCCTCTGCCTCTGCAGGTCCCTCTGTGCCCATGAGAGCTGTCCTGGAGTGACAGGATTCACCAGGCAGCCAGGCCCTCCTGTTCCGTAGCTCCATAGCGACACCCCCTGCCACGCACTACCTTCTCAGTGGTGTGAGATCAATCCAACTCCTCTTTGTGGCCCACAGTCCTAGCAAGCAGGTACCTGATGGCAGACTGGGTGGAGGGGCAGCCTCCACAGTCTGTAGAAGGAGATGGTTTGGTTCAGGGGTGGGAAACCCATGAGCCACAAGCGAAAGATGCCCCACCTCTTGCCTGTTCACAACCTAACAGTTTTGACAGGTGGACACGTCTAGTTGGATGTGGTGATGTGTGAGGGAAAGCTCGCTCTGACTCACCCCCCAAAGGAAACATTACCCCAACCCTCAAAACAACCATATTCTTCTCAATCACGGGCCTTGACTATTAGCTTTGTTTTGAATTTCACTCTAAATATTTGTGGAAATTTATTTAATTACCATCTGGCCCTTTTCAGGAAACTTTGCTGCCTCTGACTCAGACGATCCTT